TAGGAATCCTTAGGGATCCTTAGGAATCCCAAGGAACACCTAAGAATCCATAGAAATCCTTACGAACCCCGAAGAATTTGTAGGAATCCTGAGGAGTCCCTAGGAATCCCTAGAGAATCCTTAAGACTCATTGCGCAAAGCGAACGCCCTGCGCGTCCGGGTCCCTAGTGAAATCCGTCGGAAACCCAGCGAATCCTTACGATTTGCAGGGATCCCTCAAAATTCCACTACACCGAGGAACCCCTGGGGATCCCACGGAATGCCTAGGAATCCATAGGAATCCTTAGGAATCCCTGGGATTCTGGAGGAATCTTGAGGGATCCTTGGGAACCCGCAGGAATCCATCGGAATCCTTAGCAATCCCTAGGAATCCCTAGGAATCTTTAGGAATCCCTAGGAACCTTTAGGAATCCGTAGGAATCCCTAGAAATCCTTAGGAATCCCTGGTAATCCTTAGGAATCCCTAGGAATCTGTAGGAATCCCTAACGAATCTTCAATCTCCTTGCGCAAACCGCGCGCCCTGCGCGTCCGGGTCCCTAGTGAAACCCTTCGGAAACCCAGCGAATCCGTACGATTTGCAGGGATTCCTAATGATTTCATTACCTAGGAACCCATGGGAATCCCTAGGAACGCCTCGGGATCCATAGGAATCCCCAAGAATCCATAGGAATCCTTATGAATTCTGAAATATCTCTAAGAGTCCTTAGGAATCCTGAGGAATCCTGAGGAATCCGTAGGAATCCTTAGGAATCCTTAGGAATCTGCAGGAATCCCTAGAAACGCATAGGAATCATTAGGAATCCCTCGGAATCCTGTGGAATCCGTAAGAATGCTAAGGAATTCCAAGGAATCCTCAGGAACCCCCAGGAATCCCTAGCGAATCCTTGAAGACTCCTTACGCAAACCGAACGCCCTGCGCGTCCGAGTACCTCGTGAAATCTTTAGGAAACCTTCTGATCCTCACGATTTGCAAGGTTCCTAAGAATTTCGCGACTTCGGAACCCCTGGGAACCCCTAGGACTCCCAACGAATCCCTACGAATTATTAGGAATCCCCTGCGAATCCTGGAGACTCCTTGCGCAAATCGAACGCCTTGCCCGTCTGGGTCCCCAGTGAAATCCTTAGGAACCCCCGCGAATCCTTTCGATTTGCAAATATCCCCAAGGACTTAACGATTTAATAATAATCCCGAAAGATCCTTAGGAATGCCTCAGAATCCCTAGATATCCGTAGGAATCTCGAGGAATCCCCACATATCCCGACGACTCCCTAAGAATCCTTACGACTCCCTACATCTCCCCTAAGGATCCAATCCCTACGACTCCCTAGGATCCCCTAGGAGTCCTTAGAAATCCCTGCGAATCCTCAGGAATCCCTTGCGAAACCTTAAGGCTCCTTGCGCAAACCGAACGCCTTGCCCGTCCGGGTCCCCAGTGACATCCTTAGGAACCCGTATAAACCCTTACGATTTGCACGGGCCCCTCAGGATTTCACTACCTAGGAATCCCCAAAAGAATCCTTAGGAACCCCGAGGAATCCCCAGGAATCCGTAGAATTCTTTACGAGCCCCTACGAATCCCTACGACTCCCCAGGAATCCCCAGGAGTCCCTGGGAATCCCTAGGAATCCCTACGACTCCCTACGACTGCCTAGGAACCCCTACGGCTCCCGAGGACTCCCTAGGAATCCCTGAAACCCCCTAGGAACCCCTACGAATCTTTACGAATCCCTTGCGAATCCTTAAGACTCCTTGCGCAAACCGAACGCCTTGCCCGTCCGGGTCACTAGTGAAATCCTTGGGGAACCGTGCAAACCCTTACGATTAGCAAGGATTCCTAAGCATTTCACGACCTAGGAATCCCTGGGAATCGCTAAGGCGCGTCGCGGTTTTTTCGCGTCGCGGCTTGCGATGCTTTTTTCAAGCTCAAGCAGGCCCCCAAACGGACGACGAGGACACCAGAGTCCCCGCAGACAATTCAAGAGGGCCCCATGTTGTGACCGATCGCTCCGAAACGCCCTAACGGGTTTCCAAACGGCCCAAGAGCCCCCCAAGAAACTGTTGGAAGGCTCCAAGAGCACTCCCAAGAGAGCTCCAAAAGTCATCAGCAGCATCGTCAATACCTCCTCCTAGTCATCATCATCATGATCACCATCAAGCTCACCATCATTACCATGAACATGATTCCAACCATCATCGTGACAACCATCACCATCATCACCACCACAACAACATCAGCCCGTGCCACTACTACTACTACTACTACTACTACTACTACTACTACTACTACTACTACTACTACTACTACGATTACGACTACGACTACGACCACGACTACGACTACGACTACGACTACGACTACGACTACGCCTACGACTACGAATACGACTACGACTACTACTGGCGTTCTCGTGCACCACATCACCACGGCTGAACCGCCTTGGGAAGAGCGTCCTTGTGGCTGCCTCATTTCCAGTATGTAGCGAACACCTCTTCTGGGTGGGTGAAAGGCGGGTCTGACGTGCATGCAGCGGCGGGCGCTTATCCGAGGGCAGCTGGCCCCTACGGCCCAAAGTGAAGCGACAGCGGCGGCCCAGCAGCACACGGGGCGACCCCAGTACCGCCATCGAGGCCAACTAGCGCGAGTAGGCGCGAGAAGAGGCCAGGATGGCAAGCCAAAGTGGCTAGGCGCCCAGCGGCGCCGCGGCAGCACACGGGGCGACCCCAGCACCGCCACGACTACGACTTCTACTACTACTACTACTACTACTACTACTACTACTACTACTACTACTACTACTACTACTACTACTACTACTACTACTACTACTACTACTACTACTACTACTACTACTACTACTACTACTGCTACGACTACTACTACTACTACTACTACTACTACTACTACTACTACTACTACTACTACTACTACTACTACTACTACTACTACTACTACTACTACTAGTACTACTACTACTACCACGACTACTACTACTACTACTACGTACTACAGTACTACTACTACTACTACTACCTACTACTACTACTACTACTACTACTACTACTACTACTACTACTACTACTACTACTACTACTGCTACTACTACTACTACTAGTACTGCTAGTACTACTGTTATTACCAGTATTACTACTACTACGACTACTACAACCATTACGAATACTACTACTACTACTACTACTACTACTACGACTACTACTACTACTACTACTACTACTACGACGACTTTACTACGACTACGACTACGACTACGACTACTACTGCTACTACTACTACTACTACTACTACTACTACTCATACTACTACTAGTACAAGTACTAGGATGGTTACTACCAGTACTACTGCTTCTACGATTTATACGACCACTCCTACTACTGCTTCTAATAGTATTACCAATATTACTACTACTACTACTGCTACTACTACTACTACTACTACTACTACTACGACTACTACTACTGCTATTACTACCAATACGACTACCACGAATACTACTACTACTACTACTACTACTACTACCACTACTACTACTACCACCTCGACTAATTCTGTCACTATTACTACTGCTACTGCTACTACTACTACTACCACTACTACTACGACTTTACTACGATTACGACAACTACGACAACAACTAATACTACTTCTGCTGCTACTACTACTACATAAACAGCTGCGCATACAGCAAATACTGAAACTACTCCTACTACTACTACTACTACTACTACTACTACTACTACTACTACTACTACTACGACTACGACTACTACTACTACTACTACTACTACTACTCCTAGGACCACTACTACTACTACTACTGCTACTACTACTGCTACTACTACTACGACTGGGATTACTAACTGCTACTCCTGAGACTGTTTCTAAAACTTCTACTGCCACTACTACTACTACTACTACTACTACGACGACGACGACGACGACGACGACTACCACTACTACCACTAGTAATACTACTACTAATAGTACTACTACTACTACTACTACTACTATTACTACTACTACTACTACTACTACTACTACTACTACTACTACTACTACTACTACTACGGCTACTACGACTAGTACTACTACTACTACTACTACTACTACTACTGCTGCTGCGGCTACTACTGCTGCGACTGCTCCTACTTCTTCTACTACTCCTACTACTACAACGACGACTTTGACGACGACTTCGACTACAATTACAACTACGACAGCGACGTTTCTTACTACGATTGCGCCCAGGACCACGACGACAACGACGACGACGACGACTTCTTCGAGTTAATTTGTCCTTCGCATGCAAGCCCATTGACACAGGAATGCGCTACGTGACGGCGGAGTGAGCGAAGCGAGTCAATAACCGTGGCCCGGAACATGGGGCCCTTCTCCAAATCGAACACGCGTGTAGACTCCGCCTCGATCACCTTGGTGGCGTGCTCCGCGGTGGCAGCATGCAGCTCGCAGAGCTCGAAGCACTGATCAGCCTCGCTTGCGTCCAAAACGCGCTGCTGCATCTCGCCGCCCCCGCCCATCCGCACGATCGTGCGCAAAGTGCCATGTCCAGCGACGAGGGTATGGAGCGCCTTCCTGAGCACCTGGACGTCCAGTGGGCCGCGCCAATGAAGCGTGGTCGGCATGTTGTAGGCCGACTTGGAGACCTCGTACATCACGATCATCTGTTCCTGCTGGTACGACACCGGATGCCACTCCGCGTCTCCTGCCGACCCCGCCACCAGCTCCTAAGGGGGACCAGGACCGGTCAATCTCGGCACACTGTCCCTCGAGATTTGCATTGGGAGCGAAGCTTATAGATGCGAGAATGGCTAGACAGGGGCGGGAAGCGCCGCAATTGACAATTGGGCTTGCAAAGCGAAGAAAGAAGAGAAGAGAACCGGGAGGAGGACGACGAGGACAGCGGGGAGGATGAGGAGGGCGGCGCTGGAGGAGCAGGAGGACTAGGATGTGGAAGGCACCTGTAAAGACAAGGACGAGGAGGAACCAGGATAAGTAGAAGGAAGGCGACGAAGACGAGAATGACGAGGACGGGCAGGAAGACGGTGGCGCGGAAGGCGAAGAGGACGACGCACACAAGGAACAAGACGTGGAAGTGATCTGACCCTTGGAATCTTTCAGAGCTGCGCTTGTTGCTGCTCGGACTGTCTGGGACTGTTTGTCGTCCTGGCGGGGCCATTTGCGGGGCCTTTGTTTGGTAGGTTCTGGGGGCCTTCTTGGACTGTCTTGGCGTATTTGGGCGTTCGTCGGGGGCAGTCAGGGTCTCGCAAAAGGCCTCTCCATCCGTTCTGATTTGCCTCAGAGCCCCCCTCTTTGCGCGCCCTCCTCCTGTCCCTCCTCCTCCCTCCTCCTGAAGGCATCAACGTCGACGACGACGACGAGGAGGAAGAGGAGCCCCCCGCCAATCGCTGGCAGTGGACCTGAGGAGGCGGAGGCGGAGGGGGCCTCCTCCTCCTCCTCCGTCTGCCACCGTTCCCTGAAGTAAGTGTAAGGAGGAGGAGGAGGAGGAGGAGGAGAAAGGTTAATCATCATCTCTCCTCCTCCTCCTCCTCCTCCTCCTCCTCCTCCTCCTCCTCCTCCACCTCCACCTCCACCTCCACCTCCTCCTCCTCTCCTCCTCCTCCTCCTCCTCCTCCTCCTCCTCCTCCTCCTCCTCCTCCTCCTCCTCCTCCTCCTCCCTCCTCCTCCCTCCTCCTCCTCCTCCTCCTCCTCCTCCTCCTCCTCCTCCTCCTCCTCCTCCCTCTCCTCCTCCCCTTCCTCCTCCTGTTACGATCCCTTTACCCGCAGCCGGCTTGAGCCTCGAACCCAGGAAAGCATCCTCCAATTCGAAATCATCCGCATATCTTTTCATGGTTACAGAGCCGTGGTGAACAATACACGAACCTAGCATACATGATCACGGGCTCAGGGCCCACGGGCCCCCCCCCCAGATGGGATGGGTCCCAAGGTCCTCGGGCAACCCCCCCCCAGATGGGATGGGGGGGAGAGGAGGAGGAGGAGGAGGAGGAGGACGACGACGACGATGACGACGACGACGACGATGACGACGACGACGACGACACCGACAACGACGACGACAACGACGACGACGACACCGACAACGACGACGACGACGACGACGACGACGACGACGACGACGACGACAACGACGACGGCGTCGACGGCACCACCAGCGGCGGCGGCGACGACGTCGAGCACCGGAGCTGTCAACATGACGCCAATCCCAGCACGCCGCACCAACACCGCACCCACAGGGAGGGAGGGAGAGGGAGAGGAGGACCATGGCGTGACCCCGCACACACCCACAGCAACACACCACACCCACACCACATCCACAGGGGGGGGGAGCCACCACGCCACGCCCACGCCCACAGGAGGGGGGGGGGCATCGCTCGGGGGGGGGGGGGCCCGATGGCATTAGCATTGGTGGGGGGGCCAAACCCTCGACCATACATCCCAAACCCAAGTAGGGCTCTGGGAAGACTCGTTGTAGAGTAGAGTCGCATCCCCAACCCAAGTAGGGCTCTGGGAAGAAACCTCGTGTAGGGAAAATGACATCAGTGACTATCACGAAACTCTTAGGACGAGGTTTCAAAGATTCCTCCAGAGATGAAGGTGAGTGGAGCGATTGGTGTTATCGTTTCGGATATTATTGTGGAGCTGTGAGTCAAGTGATGTTGCAGAACATGGAACGTGCACGAGAAAATGCGAACCCAATCGCACTAGCAGTTACAGAAGAAGATGTAGAACAACATTCTGCGAACCTAGCCTGCATTCTAAAAAGCGTCGTGTACGGCGAGATGACGAAAGTATTTAGGAATATAAAGAAAAGGTACCAGTCTTGATATGTGGCGTAGGATGTGCATCAGATATGAACACAAAGCAAAAAAACGAAAAGAGTTCTGAATGCAGTCATGGATCTTAGTTTCGAAGGCGCCTCCCTCCCAGAGGTTCTCGAGCGCCTTGAGGAAATGGAATTGCTCATGAAAGAATACGATGGTCTAGCTTCCCCAGACGAGCTAGCACATGATGTCAAAATTAGCGTGGTCATGAAGACGATCCCAGAACCAATGAAAACACATTTTGAATTGAATGGTCATTTGTGCGAAACATACGAAGACCTCAAACGTGAGATACGCAAACACGTCGGAAGCAAAAGTGTTTGGAATGAACCATACGGCAGACAAGAGAACGGCCCCAAGCCCATGGAAGTGGATGCTTCGAAGGGTTATCCGAAAGGTACCCCGACAGGTTTTCCGAAAGGATCCCCAAAAGGTGACCATAGGGGCTCTCCCCAAAGGACTCTCCAGAGGCACGCCCAAGGGCACTCCGAAGGGATTTTCCCAGGGAGCGGGGTCTGGCCGTGGATACCCATCATCCTCGCGGCGAGGACGGGGTTCCTCCAGAGCGAGCGGAAAGGTAAAGGCAAAGACCGCGCGAACCCTGGAGGCGAAGGTAGGGATCAGACGAGCAGTGGGGGCAGAAAAGGATGGAGCCAGAACGCGAACAAGTGGCGTGACATCTACAAAATGAGGAACCTCTGGACGTCAGAGCGCAGACTCAACCAGAAAACTCGATCAGGGAGAGGAAACCACTCCTACGAACAAGCCTGGGATCAGGACTCTTGGGGTCCCGGATGGTCTTGGGACTCGCAGGGCGATGGGAATCAGGATGGAGGAGAACAGCCAGAGCAATACGACGAATACTCCTCCGAGGAGTTCGCGGCTTTGCTTCCTAGCAGCAGCTCTCCGGACGACAGCGACAGCGAGTCGAGCGATTCGAACGAGTGTCTCCCATGTGAGTTGAAGAGCTTACCGAGAGCTCGTAGGTCGACAACGCACTTGCTTTCGAATCTGGTGCTGCGGATTCGTGCAGCGACGTTGACGGCGACAGCAGCGCACCTAGTGAGCATGTTTTGGTGTAGATATGGGCTCTCAGACGGATCCCATTCGAGCACTTGAGGAGCAGGCTCTCAGACGAATCGTGTGGTCGAGCAGTGCGAATATTTCCACCGCTGTCCTGAATGGTTTGTGATGACATATTCAGATTCAGATGATGACAGCGATGATCCCATCAGCACTCATCGCAAGACCACCGAGTTTTCCAGGTACGACGTTTTACTTGACGACGATGCTCGTGATGATGTATGTCGTGTCGTTTTGCGTAAGCATGTGGTCATAAATCCACGACGTGTGTTCCCATGCATTCACAAGCTTGTCAAAAGTGCGTTGGGCAATCTTCGGGTCGATAATCTTACAGGCGATGTTGATGCGCATCGTGATGTGACCGGAGAAAAACGAACATGACATCACCTCGTTTTTGCATGAAGCCCTGCAGGGACAGAACAACGTTGCGTCCACCGGCAATTACGCACAAAGAGACTTCCAGATCCTTTTAGATTCTGGAACATGTGACCATATATGCAATGAGTCTTTCGCGAAACACATTCCTGTGGTAGTATCTGCTGGCGAAGACAGAGTGACCACCTCGGGGCATCCAATGACGAGAATTGGGCACAAGGACGTGCCTATACAGCTGATCGGCCACAATGATACTGTTTGTCATCCGTTTCAGTGTTTTCAAAGAAGCAAGTGCCACACTCATCAGCATCAGCAGGCTAACACAACAGAAAAACATTGTTGTATGTTTGATGGCAACACGTGCGTGCTGCAAGGGCCTCATATCCCAAAATCGCTGTTTGTTAAAGAACATAATTTTCTGTATCGTGTTACTTGTAAATTTGTCGACCCAGCCAGAATCATGCCAATCATCCAACGCCAATCGTTGCACTCAGCTGTTCTCCGGCCTTTCGACGAACCGCCGGAAGAACTAAGAACGAGCACCCCCGCGAAAATGACCAAAGAGATTTGGAGTACCACCTCTGATGGCGAACCTCGTGGTCACACCGAAAATAAAGAACTATAGAGTTCCCGTCGGTCAATTGCCAAAGAAACTCACATACGATAAAATTGCAACCGATTTCCCGCAGCGCATCACGCGGGTAAAATGGCCGAGGAACGGATGGGTGCTTGTGGAAAATCGGGTCGATGGGACGAAACTCAAAATGCCAGAGGATTTCCTTATGCCCGGCAGGGCAATCACATTGTTTGTGCCACGAGAGAAAGAACAACGATCCTCCAAAACAACTCTGAAACGAACGACGCGCGAATGAACCTCTCAGGAGAAGCTCATCCACAGCCGAACGGGCCAACAGGCGCGCAGAGCGCAAAGGACACTCGTGGTGCAAGCTCCGCTGGCAACAACGAGCCTCCAGCACACGCGGAGACACTACAAGAAGTAACACGTGTCGTGTCATCGATGGAGTGACAAATGTAGGGGGCCACATGCAAAGCCTACCCCTACCCCCCACGATTTCTGCGGGGGAGGGTGGAGCTCACTTCGCGAATTTCTCTAGGACCAACATTCAAAGAGCGGTTGGAACACAATATCAGGCAAATGCCGTTTCGTGCGTGGTGTGAGTTTTGCGTGCAGGGGCGTGCCAAACAGTCTCCACACAAACACCCAGAATAAAACATTATCTCCACTGTGCAAGTATATGATTTCTTCTTGAAAAAAGCGCAAGACGCAGCAGTAATCACTTGTGCGTCGGTAACTGAGGTTGTAGACGGTTAGGGGGCGTGCGCACAAGTCAATGCTAAAGGGTCCTGTGACACACATGCGTCGGATCCGTTGTGAAACATTTAGAACATGCAGGGCTGAACGGAGA